CCCAACGTCTGTACAACGGATAAAACGTCCATACAAAAAACATACACACTTGACTTAACTATCAAACACATCACCTGATGTAGCTTTAAGTACGAAGTTGGAGTCAGGCCGCGTGTAGACGGGCCATTTTACTTCCTCCGTCACTCCGTCCACGTTCAGTCCCAGTCAGACATTCTCGGAGCAAGCATTGGCGCACATGGGGGAACAGAATGAGACCGACATTGGAGGACCTGTCCTCCCTGATAAGCAGCACATTCCTCACCTACATAAATCTAACGCACTTAAACCTCTCAATAGGAGACTACAGTAGCGGCTTGACAGGTTGTCAACTGACGGGATCAATTGGTCAAGACTGGGGGCAGATTGTAATAATCCCTTCCTAGTGTGGCCTTTGTGGTTTTCGCACCTGGGGAATTCCTGACGCCACAATAAATGTGACGGAATGAGTGTTGTCGACAGCCATCATTGCGATAGCTGGCATCCTTGTTCAAGGCTCCGGTGTATCAATATCACTCATATTTGCAGCGAGCGGTTCCAGACGCGTTGACCTGCGGTCACTCGACCGACTTCAGCTCGAACACACCTGCGTTCACACAGCCGTAACTGCCCATACGCCACTTGAACACAGCACCCCTCGGGAAATGCAACCCACACCAGTCGGACAAAATTCGGGTTTGCTCCACAAGCCTATAGGATCAGCTGCCACCACTCGTCTCACTTTCTCAGGCATGATCTAATACCTACTCCTTAGCGGCAACTACCGTCTGAGAGGGCAATTCGGGGTTCTGCATACAATAAAACCCTCATTCTGGTGGCTTCTGTTTTCTCCTACAACTTCCGATTTCGTCCGATGATTTAGCGCTCTGAGCATTTCCACTGTTCAGACGCTACATGGAACGCAAATAGTGTGTGGCACGCTTGGACAAGCCCCCGTGTCTACATCAATCGCCGATCTTATTGCCTTTGCCTTGTCATCGGAGCGTGTTAAATTAGGGAGAAGAGGCGTAGGTAGTGGCAGCGTTGATCTGCCCCACGATGCACAAATTCATGCCCAAGTGACAGCCGCTAAGCCAAACTCGTGAAGCGGCGGTGAGCGTCATCGCTTGTGACGGTTAAACAGTCGCTTTAGTGCCAGCCTTAACCGTGCCGAGCACCTCCAGCGTCTTTTAAATTAGACCGACCTCGACGTTCGCGTTTCAGCTAATTCTGCTAACCGGGTACCCTTCCTCGACGTCCTCATGGGATGTTAGGCGTGGGATGCTGTAAAACATTTAAATTACAAACTCTACAAGCACGAGAGAAATATGAAGTTTTCCAAACAAGTATTCTAACCCTAATGAACGTAGCTGCATCCGCAAAATACTGCAACGTGTAGGATCTGCATGAAAATCAGCAAGTTGACTGGCACTACCGCTAGAGGGCAAACAAATGCGACAAGTAATCTTCCGGGAGAAGAGGTTACTCATGACATGCACATGGACAGAAGAATGACCGTCAAGAACAGGAGACTACCTAAGAAGCAAAAAAGATTCTGAAGAGATTTGCTGACAACCGCATGCAGTAGGAGTAGTTCAAAAACCGCAAACCTAACCCCCCCCCCCCAAACTGTGATCTAACCAAGGGACCCTCCGTCCTAAGAAGGGAGGATTCAATTTTAAGCCAGGATAAACCCATTACCCAGGTCACTGTGTGAGTGGGAAGGACTGCCGTTGGATGTTGAGTATCCACGGCCTATCGGCTGGGACATTTCATGAAGTGAACTGTTTCTCGCAAGGACAGGGTCTCGGATGCGGGCCTAACCATCCACGATTCCGCCCGCCTGCTTGCAACCTGTCAGGTCTTGCGTTAGTATCAAGACTAAGCAGAATGCATTTGGAATGACATGGACGTCACAGACACCAAGAAATGAATCGGCAACCGCCAAGGCTGGTGACAATGGGAAGCAGAACCGGTTAACGCCGGTACAGGCACAAGCATCACGAGTTGAGGCAACTGCCGGTCAAGCCACTACAGCTTTGCTGAGTCTGGCGGAAAGAGCAGCAGTTTAAGGTAATTTCATAAAATCAGAAATGAACCTATCTATCTGAAGCCTCTATAGGTGGGCATATTTGCTCCCACGGTTTCTCGAGTGTCCAATCTGGACCCGCCTTTATTTCGGCCCCGGGCATAACTACTAGACAAATGAAACTTTGACCAATTTGGCTGTAGCGAATAACGCAACGTGGGCCCCTGTCCTCCCTCGGAGTTAAGAACTAGAACGCTCGCTGTCGGTCGAAGTGCCAAAGCAACCAATAATCGATAAATGCTACAAAGGCCGGTGTAACACCCCACGAATTGGATTGGGCTGTTTAAATAAAGTGAACACTTCCGGCACGGATCTAGGAAGGAGATGGTGTAACCGCGTGCCGGTTGAAATTAGCCGGGCCCTGCCCCTATATAACCACCGACCCTCTCCCCACATCACTCGTCCTATCGTTTACCCCACTCACGTTCTGAGTTAGCACCTTCCCCGGCCCTCCCTTGCAGTCGCCGCCAGCTCTGCAGTCTCCACCGGTTACTTAGCAGGCATGTTAGCGTCACCCCCTTGGTGTAACTCGTCCATCCTTGTGTCATTTATAGCTTTCCGATGTACTTAACCCCTTGTTTTTAGCATATATATTTTGTAACCATTTAGCCTTTCCTCCTTCTTGCCTAACTGAGGATGATAACGTGTCTAAAAATTTTGTTTAGGTCGTTCTAAGTCTGGGCCTATCCCCTGTGCTGCACGTTACCTAGTGTGTGCCGCCCCCAACGTCTTCGACTGATACAGTGGCACATTATTTGAACTCAAGGTTTTTGTCTTTTGACATATATCCTAATATCGCAACTGACAGGACAAGGGGCCAGCAGATCAATGGTGGGGTTATGGACATGGACTTGCAAGTGCTCAATGACCACAGAATCTGAATCAGAATACCAGGTCCAGTAAACCTTCTGTTGGGTATGACTGGCTGATTTAGGGTA